AAAAGAGCCAAAGTAAAGGGTTTGAAAGGACTAAACCCTGCCTTACGCACTTCACACAGGAAAGTGATGCATCAGGTTTGCCACACATTTGAAACCATAAGATAAGAAGTTCTAGCTATCACAACAGTCTGGATTACATTTCACCTGGCTGATTTAAAGGAATAGTTTAACATTTTGGCAAACGTGCTTATTTCCTTTTTTTCACCGCTGAGTTAGATGAGAAGATTGATACCACTCTCATGGTTGAATGGAAACTACAGCGAGCAGCCAGTTAGCTTAGCATAGCTGTTTTATGCAAAGCTAAGCTAACCGGCTGCTGGATGTAGCTTCACATTTACCATACAAAAGTGAGAGCAGTATCAGTCATCTATGCAAATAACTCTTCTTCTAAACTCTCCCTGTGAAGATCACAATCTACCAGCAATGTTTTGAGGTATGATTCTTTTTGCACTATGAAGGAAAATAATGCAGCATACATTACAACACTCTCGCAACATTTCCCATGAACTTTCTGACCAGAAAAGGTGAAATGTCCCATCTGGATACACAAATATAATCAACTGCACCAATGCCAGTGTGGAAAAAGTAGCAAGGAAACTGCAAAATGTGCATTGAGCCACTTGCAGAGTATATGGGCACCACTGAAAGTGAAATCTACTCAATTTCAAACATACACAAACCTTGAAACACAAGTAAAAGACATCCAGTAAAAACCACATATCTATATGTACACCTCCATCTGTTAGTTCTGCATGGGAGCCCTCAATCATATTATTTTTTTTTTTTTTAAGGGAAGTAAAGGAGGGGGGGGGGGGTGTGTAATAAAAGAGAAAAGGGGGGGGAGGGACGGACCACAAGGGGGGGGTGGTGGGGGGGGGAATCTGGACACAGAGGTTAGGCAGGGATAGGAAAACCACACTGGAAAACTGACTTGGGAATGGCATCTGGTTCCCATATCCACAGTGTATCACAATTAGCCAGCATAAAATGACTTTAATGTGTGTGTATGTGTTTGTGAGTGTGTGTGTGTGTGTGTGTGTGTGTGTGTGTGTGTGTGTGTGTGTGTGTGTGTGTGTGTGTGTGTGTGCTTGTTGTTATGTGTTGGATGTTCTTGTGGGAGCAGCGACGCCATGAATGGAGGAAACTGAAAGTGTGACTGGTTATAAATGAGAGACTGTGTATGTATAGTGTCAAGATATAAATCAGACATGGAGAAGATTCTGATTCACAATCTCAGTAAAGGAAGGTCTTGCCATTCCTGGGGAGGGGAAACATTTAAACAGCTTTAACCAAACGGGCATAAAAAGCCAAACACCTAAGCCAAAATTTTCTGTGCAATGCATAAGCAAATTTCTGACCCACAAAATTCTTGTCGTGGATATGAAATGTTGAATAAGGGACAATGTTCCAGTTAGAAAAGTATTTATTTCACTTCTTCTGTTGATTCAATTAGAACCACACTGTGGCAGGTCTATTTCTCATCATTTGATGTTATGACTTGGAGGAAAATTCCTCTCAATCAAAAAGCTGTCAAGCTTTTTCTTAAACTGCAAGAATCACATTCATACTGTGCTAATTCTCCTACCACGCTAAGGTAGTGACAGTCAGTTCCCCCCTGTGAGTATTCAGTCTGCTCAGCCAGCCAAAGTGCACTTTATTGACTGCTTTAAATCACTGAGAGTAAACCTCATGCTTGGCCCGGCACCGTCTCTCGTCATTTGGTGACAGACAAGTGCTGCTGATGGGCACAGCATGAGCAGAGCACTGACATCTAAAAGGTCAAACTCTTAATGTTGTCACATCCAGTGACAGTAGGCCTCCTCGAGCACCACTGGCCTTATGAGCCCAAATTAACACTGTCATGTCAGATAGATCCACTTGCAGCTCACGATGGGGCTCTTCAGTCCCAAAGCCTCTGTGTGCTTGTGCTCATGCCCTCTGATGTGAAGCACAGTTTCACATACATTCTCATGTGAAACTGTTATGGACATCTTCTCTTTTAAACTCATGCAACAAAGCAAAAACTGTAAACTAACATCAGAGCATGCAGGTGTGGAGCTGCGCTGCATATCAAATGAAGGATGAAGGGTTGAGGATGCCTGGGCTCCTCTGCTTCACCCCGACATTGCCTCTAATCCCTGTAGCACAGCTGCATAATTCATACGTTGTGACAGATCATCCTCAACCTGCGTCTCTAAAATCTCAGCTGATGAAGCAGGGAGGTGGTAAAACGACTTGTCAAACACAGATACCGATGCGACCAGCTTTATTTACCTCATTTCTAGCATGACTGTGCTCTTGCAAGGGCTCATGTGCTGAACTATAACTGGCCTGGCTTGAGACTCCCATGTGGTGCAGAGGCATGCTTAGCGGGCTGAAGTGGGTCTGATATTTCCAACATTGTATCGTTTTCAAATATTTCCGCCTCCTCCTAACCAGATTTCAAAGCAGGCTAGTTTCTTTCTCTGTCTGTATAATTTTAATTTAGTATGGCATACAGTGTGTGCTCAAAAAGTATAGTCGGCGGGTGGTGTTAGTGGGTACTCGAGTGCAGCCTCAGGGATGGTGTTTTATGCTTGATTGGTGTTAAATGGTGTGCACACACAGTGGTGGCTGCTTGGGGTTGATGTTTTGACACGGGTCCGCCTTTGAAGAGCCGCAGAAAGATGAGGAAAGGAGATAAAAAATGAGAAGCGAAGACATGATAATTTTTGCCTCAGCTGTCATCTCACAGACTTTGCTAACCTTTATGTACAGTCAAAAAAAACAACTCTGGTTTCCGTGGCAAGAGGCGGCAAAATATCCTTCTTGTAAATGCTGGGGGAGTTGAAAATCACCTCAACCCATATGTGTAACATGTCTCCCTTAATATTTTTCCAATCTGTCTGGAGGACAGGGAAGAGATATCCAACTAAACATCATTTGACAACTGACCCCCAGATCCAATGCAGAATTGACACAAAAGCCCAAGCAGTGGAAAGAGAAAGGAAATGAAAACAAAGCAAATCACTTTTCCATGTCTAAACGCTGATGATGAGCCGCGAATAAGGATCCCTCCTGATGAGTTTTGATTAAGTAGACTCTTCTTCTTCTTCTTCTTCTCTTTCTGTCTCCGCAACCGCAGGTCCTTGTCCGTTCATCAGCGGCTGGGTACCGATTAAATCACAGAGATCTGTAATGGCTTCAGCAGTGGTTGGTTTGTTTGGCAAACAGGGCTGTGTACAATTTACGTAGTGTTCCCAGAGTTATGGAGGGAGCTGTTGAATATTCATAGCGACGTGTCCCCTGCCATCCCCCGGGTGGGCAAACCAAATGAGAAACCACATGAGATCACTTACTACTGTCTCTTTTTAAAGAAACTGGCACAGGATTTTTTTTATTTAGGAAACAGAGTTGGTGACCATTGGGTGAGTCATTGTCAGATCATTGCATTTTTTGAAGACTTTTCTGTTTTTAGAAATGCAGTCAGTCATCCAGGCTTCAGTTTTTTGGGAATGTATTGTAAATTAAGGCCTTTTTTGTTTAGTTTCTGGTTGCTTAGCTTATTTACTTAAACTAGGACCCCTACCAAACATTTACAGCCCCTTCTGCAACCTAAAATGACTTCATCAGAGAGTGATTTGCTGGCCACAACTGGAACATTGTCAGGTACTTGCTGTGTATGCACTGGATTTATGTCACACCCAAAAGTAGTGCAGTCATCCTGTACATTTAGTGGCATTTCCAGCATTTCAGGGACAGCTCTTCTTGGGCTTCAGTCAGCTCCTGAGACATCTCACAGTATGAGTTTATTTGTCAGCTGAAGGCCTGGCGAGAGAGGCTGAGAAGTGAGACCACCTGCACTTACTTATGTCCCAGAACCCCAGGAGCGAGTGTCTGAGAAGGCGCTGAAGATTAACTTACAACTTTTATGGCTCAGTCGGCACACGCTATTATACCTATTCAATCACACTTGCCTCTAGACTATAAATAATTTTAACAGAGCACACAAATACAGTGACCGCTTGACCTGGTTATACAGCAAACTGTCACAAAGCCCGGTGCTTATGTATGGGTTTGTCTTCATCTGGGGAAACTCTGAAGTTTTCCATCTGTTCAGGGGAGTGAATCTGTGATCACCCGGCAGTGTAATGAGGTGAGATAATATGTTCGGGTACAGGGAGCTGGCACAGATGGAGGCTGGTAGCAAGGATATTACAAACCAGACCGCCCAAATGACAGGGAAAAGGGTCCCTATTAGGGGAAAGCGGGGATGAAGAGATTATTTTAATAATAGAGTCTGACTGTGAGCTACAACTGAGATTTCTGGTAGCAAATTTGTCATAATCAGATGTCTTTACATCAACTGTAAAAACACAGATCTATGCTTTTTTGTTTGTTTTGCATCACGCTTAAAGGAATAGTTCAACATTTTGGGAAATATGGTATATTTCAGTGTCTGTATACCAAAGCAGCTGCTTAGCCTCTGTCCAACGGTAATGGAATCTACCTATCAGCACATCTTAACCCCACTAATGAACATTTTATACCTCTTTTATTTAATTTGTACAAAAACTTAACTGTAAAAAAAATGTGGTTTGACTCTGGCCAGGTGCAGTGACTTCCTAGAATCATTTTGATGACAAGACTTCAGAGTTGCTGGTAGACATATTTTGTTATCTTGGGACACAGCCAGGCCATCCGTTTCCTCCCGTTTCCTGTGTTTATGCTAAGCTAAGCTAACCAGCTGCTGGCTATACCTTCAAATTTAGCATACAAACATGTGAGTGGTATCAATCTTCTGATCTAACTCTCAGCAAGAAAGCGAGTAAGTGCATTTCCCAAAACGTTTAATCTTTTAAATGTAATGTGACCTTTTATGCCAATTTTCATTTTTCTTGTAAATTGTTCTTGACTTGAAACAGTGAATAAATATTAGCTGGACTGCATTATGCAGTCATGTTTTTTTTACCTTCACGTGGCTATCACAGTTGGAGAAGATGGGAAGCAGGCATACTTACAGGAGGTCCTGAAAGAGAAAGGAAAAAAAAAACTTGGTTAATGTGTTTTCAATCAGCGATCAAACAGACTCAGATCATCAATGTTCCTCTGACCACATATCCAAATAACTAAGACGGGAAATCAGGGTTTTGGTGAGAATTAATTCTTTGGGAAGGAACACTAAGGATGCATCTCTTCCATGATGTGTTCACTGGCAGAACAGACAGACATTCTACTTTGGAATAACCCTTCCAGTCTTTTTATATTTCTACCTAGAACAATAGCTTTGTGACAACAGATTCCTATCTATTTTCCATGCATTTGGGCCAACAATGGCCACCAGCCCTAATGATCACATTTTACATTGGTAAGTGGCTCTAATTTCACTACTACAAGGGGTTGCGTGCTTGTTAAAAAATTCCCCCATGTTTTTGTGAGGTGACACTCGTCTTTTTCCCAATTACTGCCGCTCAAAGGACTGTGTGCCAACGCACTTCAGGGCTCCCCAGAACCCTGCAAATCATTTTAGGTCTTTAGGTTCTTATTAAACAGGTACCCAGCTGCTTTAACCCTGAAAAAAAAGGATATTTTTTTCTTTACAAGTCCTATGTCCTTGAACTGTTCTTCTTCATGACCAGGGGAAAGTGCAAATCGCTCCAGCAGCTGGAGCATTTAAGGAGCCGTGTGTTTGAGGCTCGCTGGGCTGCACTTCTGTAGCGTTGTTTTATGGATCGTTGAGTTACAGTAGACCACTTAGCTTTTAATAAACCTGCACCACTGTGTATTTTTTGACATGTCCCACTGTGTCGAATGGCTCAGTACAAAGTTTTCAACTAGCAATTATGTTCAAATCAAAGAAAATCTGTGACAAAAATGTTCAGTGTGTTGCAAAGCACATAATAGCAACCTCAAAGGTATAAACCCTCAAATGATAACATGTGATGGCCTTAGGTAGACAGAAAAACATTAATTGCTGGCATATAATCCATGTAAAATGAAATTGTCTTTGACATGTTATATAACCCAATCTCAAAGCTTCATTCAGTCACTCAGCCTGAGCTTCACTTTCTGTTCTCACACTGGCACCTTCAGTCATGTCCTCCACAGAGGTTGTAAAGGTTGGACAAAGTCATGCAGTGTGAGGCATTTGTTGTAAAGAAGCTGCTTTTCTTCACACTGATGCACCTCTGTAAGGTTAAATTGCTCATCCGGCACAATTTAAGCATCAATTCCTGCTTTTGCGAAGGCAGGTTCTTGAGTAAAAAGTACTGATTATTCACATAAGGAAAATATGGGAGGAAACTTCTAACACTTTCCAGCATTGACCACCTGCTAGAACAGTTTGAGAGTGCGGCTTTCACTGCTACAAAAACTTTTTCATCCTAAACTGTCATGCCACACTTTTCCTTTCCATATGTTACCGGTAAACAAACAAGAGATCCTAATGAAGTATCCCATTCATTTTTAATGCATAGGTAAATATCACCGTGTCTTTTTCCTATTTGTTCTCTCTGTCACTTGCAGCCAAGTCTGGGCAAAAGCTTCCCCTTGCCTTTGTAGATGAGTAAACTGCAAAACACCTCACCATGAATTTGTGGGAAACTTGCTGCGGCTTAGTTACTTTTGGTTAAAGCGAATCATGAATTAAATATGCTTCCCTTCAACATCCACCAGTGTTGAGAACTTAAAAGAGGGAAATTGGATTTGCAGAAGGCTTACAGTGCAGAATGCAACACGCCTGTGCTCGTCAAGGACTGCATTTTTCAGTCGTATAAATAATGTCTCCTAAATATTTTTTCAGTTTTTCTCCTACGGAGCGGGTACAGACTTTGACACTGGGCTCCAGTAATGCATGGTGCCATCATATTTATTTGCTTTGAATGCTTCTGTGAGTTTTGCGCAGAATATTGTTTCCACTTGTTTATGCTCGCCAACATATCCACAGGGTAAATGTAGCAGAAATAACTGAGCTTTAATTGCAAGCAAATATGAGGTGCAAAAATTTTAAATTACATTCTCTGTACAAGGACTTCTAAACCATTGCTTTTGTAAAGTCAATGCTTTTGTGGAAGTTGCACATAAGCAGTAAACGTGAAGATAAAAAGCTGGTGTCAACACTACTTAACCTCATAGTTCATGACATTCATAAAACAAACAAACAGTCTCTTTTAGGTGAGTCACTATTTCAGGTAGACAAACTTGAGCTAAATATGTCTGATTTGACAACATACTTCAGCCTAGTTTAGTACTATAATTTGGGTTGTTGTACAGATGGTCAAGCCTGTCATCACGATTGTTCCCTATTGTCTACCCTTAAGAGACAACTGTGCCACTACAGTTCAGACACTGTGAATAGGTATGATTGCTTGCTTGTTTCCAATTGATTTGTCAAGAGGAAGCTATTCACATTTGCTTTGGCTGAGCAGAAAGGAAAAAAAAAAACTGTCTTCAAACAATGGTACCATTTGAAATTCGCTGGCACGGTGGATGTTTATTGGAAAGTTAAGCACCGCATAAACAAAGGCTGGCGGTATTTCAGATCTGCAGCCAACCAGAACATTGAACTGTTGTCTATCTGTCATTTGATTTCTCATTTTTTCATCTCCCTTGGCTTTAGAGTCATACACTGGATTACTTTAGTATTATGTAAATCAGAAAAAAGCAAAGGCAGAGAGCCACACCACACTGATCCTGATCTCAAAATGCAGAACATGGCCACAACAGGATTCTAAATGAATTTGGCTAAATCAAAAAAAATGAAGGCGGTAATAGAATCTTTTATACTCAAATAACAGACCTCAACTGATTTGGTTTGATTCCTGTGACTTTAAAAAGTAATGGCTGGATGTGGTGGTAAAACCAGCAGCGTTTTTTCTCCCCTCATAGACACAGTGTTTGTTTCTCAGGCTGCGAAACTAAACCGCTCCCTTAGTACACTGCCTCACTTAAAATTGGAACCTTGCTTTGCCCTGTCTCTCTAATTTCTTTTTTATAAGGGCAGCGCTTTTGTTCCAAAGAGTTGGCTGCGGTCTCAATGCAGGAACAACGACACACTCCAGAGCCCATTATCACTTTCACTATCAGGTGTACAGACTGTGGATGCAGCTCACTGCCAAGTACATGTTCTCGCTGTGAATTCAATTTGAGGTGACACTTTCCGTCTGTGGGAGTTTCGCCGCACAACATGTCCCTCCTAGATACTCGAGGCCTTGGCTGGGCCAACTTTTTTGAGTCAGCTCAGGAGAGAGTGTGTGGGAGGAGGGAGGGGAGACCGGAGATCCTGAGCGACTTACGACAACTTGTTGCTGAATTTGTGGAGGCTAAGTAAGCGTGGGCTATTAAATACACACTGAAGCTGAATGTAAGTACATCATGTCTAGGGATCAGCATAGCAGGGTAAGAGTGTCTCAAAATGTAGACATGGGTGTCATCAGCTTCAGCAAGTTTGGCCATCACTTTTACTTTCTCTAACTGCACTGTCTCCCCAGTTTTACTGTGAAAATATAGTGTTTCTATAGCGACTGAAGCTGAAACAATCCAAGTGAACACTGAAACCACCAGGCCACAAATTACACATCTATAACCTATTTTGGCCTCCAAAGATATACAGTGTACTTTTACATGATTGTAAATGCAGTATGATTTGCTGATGTCCTACTGAACTATTCCTTGAAGGTTTCTGGATCAAGACTTCAGTGATCATATGCCACACACACATACATACCAGGTTCTCCGTTGCGGCCTCTTCTCCCTCGCTTTCCCGGAGGTCCTGCAGAAAAGAAGAATATAATACATTTTAGTCAGTAATTTGATTGTCTTTTTGTTTGTATAAGTTTCATATTCTTCAAGTATTCTCAGAGTCAAACCACCCTTCAGCAGGATGAGGAAGAGCCTCTGAAAAATATTGCCTTTGGACTACAAACACCTCAAAAGCTCAAGGTTCATTAAGTATTTAGGCTCTACATAAACTGAGGTGGAAAAAGGAAACACACACTGTCTTGCCACAAAAGTGCGCTTCATGCTGACGTCCCTGTTTCTTTTTTTCCTTTCTTCTGTTTTTCCTTTAAGCACGGATGCCCTGGTTTTTAATTTGTTTATCTAGACAGTGTTTTCCTGTTTGCCATTTTCCTGTCAACGCTATCAATCTGCTAAAGCTCAGCTGGAGGAGTAAAACAATTACACGCTTTGTCAGGTTTTACATGTTGAAGACCTGACAGGGTCGTATTGTATGCAGGTAGTTCTCAGTCTGGAAATTGGGAGCATCTCCGACAAAATGACCCCTTAACTCCCAGCTACACATGCAGCCTTTTACTGGGGTTGGCAGCTGGAAACCAATTTTCAGGCACTGCGTTTGCTCTCTGCCAAAAACTTGTGTGCTTTCACAATTTAGTCAAAGAGTAAAGCTATGACGTTTGGACTAGCTGGAAATTAAACATTGAGCTCTTATGGTTACGCAGTACTACATGGGAACGCTCCCCATTTCAGGGGGACTTGTCAACTCGCAATGGAATGGATAATATCTAGGAAGGAAAATTGCTCTTTCCACTCAACATTAAAAGAGCTGTCAGGATCAAAATGATTGGAAGTCAATGTAACCAAGAGGAACAATCTTCCCTGTCTGGTTCTGCATCACCGAAAATATCCAGATCCAATTTCGGGCAGCAACAATACTATGAAGAGTTATTATGCAAATCATTTAGAAAACTCTTTTGACCCCCAGACCGCCAAAGAAGAGCATTTTGTCATGTTAGAGGTTCAAGATAATTACTGTAATGTAATGGGGTTGGTGAAGGTTTTTGAAAAGATACAGCTCGACATTAATTGCCTAGGTGTCAAAAGTTGCTCCAAGGGCTGACTTTGTGACACTGGGCTTTTGTCAGCAGGACTAAAAATACAAAACAACCATAATTACTAATCTAAATATTCTGATCTGACCTCCAACCCCCAGCCTGTACAAAAGTCTCTCTCTTTGTGTTTCAGCATGTCATTTAATCAACTTTCCTTTCTGTATTTGCCAGCCTTCCTGAACGCTGGTGCCTCTGTGAATACATCCTTCTATAGGGGGAAAAAAACTTAACAAAGTTAAGAGTAAAAAAAAGAAAAGAAAAAAGAACAAAGCCTTTAAGTAGTGTTTGGCTGATTTAGGACACTCCACATGTGTTACTGGGGTGCAAAATGAAGAATTATGTTGCACAACGTTTCGTATGATGCTTAGTCCTCGATTTGATCCCACTGTTTGGCTCCACTTCAGCCTCCAACTCTGCTCCTTTTGGACTTTTTCCAGGATAATGTCAGGCGCTGCCAGCAAAGGGTCCAGGCTCAGTTTAAAGTATGTAACCACAGGTGGAGTTTGACTCTCACTTTACTATGGTTCACATCAACCTTGGTTTCTCCATAGGTTTGTTTTTTAAGGTTTTAAAAGAAACAGAAGGGGGTTTACTGCACTTGGCAGTCACTTCATTATTACTCACTTTGAAATGACACTTGACACCTTTGAGAGGAATATTGTGTGCAACGATACGACATCCTCCTGATTTCGGTGGTATATTTTTGACAGCTGCTGAGAAAACGCTCCCCACATGGGAGTTGGTGATCCAGACAAAATACCCTACACTATATTTAGATATCATCATGATTCACAATATTCATGTCAATATTTTTCATTCTGATTATAGTATGTAAGGAGAGATTCCCATACAACCCAACTTTACCAGTAACATTGAAAACCTTGTAGAAAGTATGCCAACAAAAACACTATAACATTTCAGTTTATGAAACTTAAGTGAAAGAATAACTTAACAGTGTCTATTAGGACCAGTCAAAAAAGGTTTTCACATGTTTTTTAATCAATTAAGACAAAAAAAGTGACGTATTGTCAGGCCTTTGGTCATAAATTAAATGAGCTCAAACTGGGTCTTGAAGTGCTGAGAGATCTTAAGCTGCCTGTCAAGGGAAAACATCATTCTTACTCAAAAACATTGTATTGGCCTGATATTTTCTCACAGCATCCCAAGAACGGTCATGGAACAGGGGCTTCAGGAAAAAAAAAATGTGGCAGGGAATTTCATGATGAGGGTCAACAACTATGAACAATCTGTTGAAACCTTTTCAACAGCTGAAAGAGTCTGAAAGTGAAATAAATCAAAGTGAACTTGATGTTCATTCAAATGTTTGGTCAGACAAAGTTTATGGTCAGACATAACAAAATGGACCCTGTGGTGTTGTGTATTGTGTTTTCACATTGTGTTATTTGGTGGCTTTTATATTTTGGAAAGTAAGCAGCGGAAAGCCACTTTACAATGCAGGAGCAGAGAGAAATGGAATTAATTTAAGTGCTGTTCGGTTTCCCTTTTAGCCGTGCTGGTGGCATGGCTCTATGGATGTGAATGTCGGTCGGTCGGCCATCACTTTGGTCCAGACTGAAATATCTCAACAACTACTAGATGGATTGTCAACAAACTTTGTACAGACATTTACGATAACCAGATGATGAATCCAACTTACTGTTGGTCATCACCTTATTTTTCTTCTACCTCCACCACATACATTTATTTATTTGTGGTGTTAAGAGAAATTGGATGCATTGTCTTGATATGTGACTTTGGTGATCCCTCCACTCCTCATCTAGTGTTATCAAGTCAAAATGTTAATTTGTTAAAATCTTCCAAATACCTGCAAAATTAATGACGAATTAATGATGAATTAATTGCCATCAGCCTCACCTGAAGTTTGTGTTTAATACAAATGATCAAATGTTAGCATGCTCAACTAGGATGCTGAATATGGTCAACATAATCTGCTAAACATCAGCACGTTAGCATTGTCATTGTGAACATGTTAGCTTGTTGATATTAATATTTCATTCAAAGAAGCACTGCTGTGCCCAAGTATAGCCTCATTAGCATGGCTGTAGATTCTTAGTTTACTTTAAAAACAAATATGTGACAACTCAAATTTAACTATATTAAAAATACAAATATGATATTTGTAATAATTACATAAACAGACTGTCAACATAGTCAAATCTCAACAGTTCAGCACTGCTAAAACCAGATGACATGAGATGCTGAACAACACTGTTTTAAACTTTCAGGTTAGAAAGAGAGTTTCAAGTATGTAGTGACTTGGATGCAAAGTTGGAAAGCAGTGAATGTCAGTGGCTACAGCCAAAGCTGTAAATGACATATATTATGACATAATTTACATACGGACTATAGGATACTGTCAAATATCACAACGAACCACAAATTGTAAATTTGACCAGTGCAATTTCCAAACTGCCTTACCAGTCAAGGTCATTCATATGAGAGCATTGGTTATTCTCCTTTTTCTTTGAAATCATCACATAAAAGCTGACACACTGTTCAACTACACTGAACCATAAAACTTCTCAAACGTCATCATTGTATCTGTTAATATGATGGTAATAGAATGTGATGTGAACGGCACCAAGTTAGCTGTAAGAGCAGCATGAAACCATCAGCACAATACTTTAAAGTCTCAGCATTTATTCATTTCTGCTTTTTCAGAAATAGTCAAACATGGGATATTTAATAATCCCACAGAATGTTTTTGTCCAAAATATTGATAGTAGTAGTCATTTTAATGCCATTTGGCAGAAAAGAATCCCATGTAATTGGCAGTATTGGGAAACATGCTGTTTTGAAGCCATAGCTGTATTGTTTTTGAATACTTTTGCTCATGTTCTTCATTACAACATTATTTCAAAGTTACGCATTGCTTGACATAATGAACTTGTTGTTTATATTTCATGCATTTGAGACAAAATTACATTTTGCCACCACCCATCATCCAGAAAATATTGATAGGCCCTGAACAGCAAACAGAACTGCACCTCTCCTTCTATTTCTCTTTTTCCTCCAAATCAATCAGTTTTAAGAGAACCAGCCCCAGCCTTACTCAGTTACAATACCAGCATTGTTTTAGAGCTTGATATACATAATCAGACCACTCAATGCTTCTCTCACAAAGTAATACAGCTATTTCTCAGAATAAAACTTATGCCAAAAACAGCAACTTGGTACCAGCTCCAACCTCCAAAGTAAATCAGGTTTGAAGAGAATTGGCTTTAGACTTCTCAGTAAACCCAATTGCACCTTTCTGGGTAAAGTGAATTAATTCTGCAAGTTTTCTGCAAGTGAGAGTTATAAATCATATAGTTTGTATTGTCCCATGTTAAAGTGTTATCAGTTTAAAATGTGTATTGATTCTCTGAAACCCACGTGTTCTCGTTTTGTAACAAACACCTGCTAATTGAGATCAACTCAGTGCCTAAAGTAGAAGGATTTCATGTTTGATTTTTTCCAGGGTTAGTTTTAAAACCATTTTCCCTTGCTGTCATGCTAAATTGTAGACAATCAGCCTATTTCATGGATTCCAAAAGTGCCACATGACCTACTGTTTATATATGAGTCATAAAAATACAATGTCCAGCATGAATGTTTGGGAGAAATGTCATAGCGGAACAATACTTCCAATGCCAATGTTTTCAGAGACTGACATGAAATTGTTTTGCTGGTGTTTGGTTCAGTTATGGTAAATTTTACGCCAAGGGTAGAAGGTACCCCAAAGGCCAGAAATGTCTTTGAATGATTTGGTTCTTAAAATGTTCTCCAGACATTTTGGAGAAGGCTTCACTGAGCAGTTTTCTTTTGTTTATCCTTATATAAATACACTTTGCTTTTAATTCCCATTTTGAAATGTATGAACGTATGACAATGGTTATGTCATGACATAAAAGTAATGTCT